TTATTTTTATTTTTTGTTTCTTTATTTATGTATTTATTTTTTTATAATATATATAGTATATCTAATAATATATATAGTATATATAGTATAGTACATGTAAAATATGATAAAATATAGTATATAATTATAATTAATTATATATACGAGAGCTTTATATACAAGAGTTTTATAGAAATAGTGTTCAAGTTTTTTCATAGTTCTTTAGTCCCACTTGGTGCCATTTCCTGATACCACATTTTTTTGTAAGAAGTATATAGAATAGCTTTTTTTGAAAATTTTAATATACCTATACGACAGGTTTTTTTTGAAAGGTTTAATATATACAACAATTTTTTTGAAAAGTAAAACAATACTGTTTTGTTTTAGTTGTGATAAGAGCGTGTACTTGGCGCCTTTTTTTTACCTTTTTTTAAAAAAGGTAATTTTTTGATGAATATTATTTCTTTTTTTTTAATAATATATATACGACAGTTTTTTTATTTAATATACATATACAACAATTTTTTTGAAAGTATTAAGAGACCTCGAGTAAGTTTCCGCTCGTGTACTAGCTTTCCGTTTATGTAACGCGTCGTTAAGCACTCTCGCGACCCGTTCGATCGCGTGCGCTTACGGTACGCTTAATAATTTTCTTTCACCCATTCGAGACATTACCTTTCGTCTGCTTTTCCGATAATTTCTCGTCTATCAAAAATTGAGGCGTTTTTTTCTAGTTAAAAATTTCGCAAGACCACGCAAGAACGTAGTCAAAAATTGATAGAGAGCAAACCTCTTTTCATTGATATAATAAACAGAATGAAATATTATAGCTTATTTATCTGTTTATTAATTTTAGTATTAATCTGTTTTCTAAACATAATTAATCATGCATTCTTTAGTTATTGATGTTATCTGGTGGAAAAAAAACATACTTATTTTATCGATAATGATCGTAATCGCTGATTACTTAATCGAGAAATTTATCGTAACGATTCGTTGATATCGATAATAGCGAAAGATATAGTTGAAATTATATCAACGAGTCATTTAAATTATAGCTGTATTTGCTATAATTGCATTATGTTTATAATTGCATTATGTTTATAATTGCATTATGTTTATAATTGTATTATATTTTAAAGGTAAAAGATTTTCCCTTCATTAAATCGTACGTTTGTAATATGCTATATCATTATCGTTCGTTACTGATATTACAATTAGAAGTTGTGTACGTCATTAAGTAATGAAGTATCGTTAATTATTAGGTATAGCATTCTATTAAACAGCACATGTTTCAAGACTTTAGTGTATGATTTGTCTAAAATAAATAAAATTAATTATCAAGGTTCAATATTTCTGTTCTATGTATATACTAAATTAATTCTAACAATATTTATCATTTCCAGTCAATTTCATTTTGTGTTTTACAAGATTTTTTGTTTAGTTTATGTTTATAATCTTTTTTCTATGGATAAATAAAATTCAATAATATACCTAAAATATGATATAAACATTTTTTTACACTTAATTCTCTGCCCACACTGTGATGTGGATAATTTTGTTGTCAATCATAGCGTTAACTACAGAAGACGACTTATGCTATATTTTTTAAAATATAAAATTGACTGAAAATTACAAATATTGTTGAAACTAATCTAGGATACTCAGAACAGAAATATTAAACTTTGAGCTATTCAATTTTATTTATTTTAGACAAATCATCCTCTAAAGTCTCGAATCATGTATAAATAACCTGCAAAATAAAAAATTTTCAAAGGTGTAGTAGATAACTTACTAAGGCATTCACATTCACCAACATATCACTTATTTCATTTAATACGAATTTCTAACAAATTTGGTCACTCGCACTATACTGCTCTAGATTGATAAGCATTCTTGAGTGTGCACCAAAGTAACAGAACAATGTAGTGCGAGTGACTAAATTTGTTAGACCGAATTCACTATTATTACTTTTTTATAACACTTTCTGATCTGAAAGGTTATGTAAAAATGTCAAATCGTAAGCGCACGCAGCGCGGCTTCTCAGCGCCATCAGCGCACCTAACGTCAGAAATCGGAAACTGGACATTTTAGCAGGACATTTTAGCTGGACATTTTTATCGTATTATTTTATTTAGACATAGACATTTCGACTTTGGACTATTATAACTTTTTTTCTACAGCACCTACAGTAAAAACAAGCATACTTTTCTTATATAATTTGGGTATGCGCTATCGATTGAGCCTATTATCAACTCAATCGGCCCAGCCGTTATTGAGATCCGATAATCTCGGCTCGTCTCAACTTTCGGGCTCGCGTAAAGATACACGGTCGGTCTTGCGCTGCGCATGAACTTGGCGTGAGACACTACCGTGTCTCTTGATAACTCTATTTTTATTCCCTAGTAAACTGTTCGGTCTATTTTATTAGTTTTTATGGCGATGTTTACAGCGATCGTTAATTTAGCAGGATTTTAGTGAAACATTTTGGAGTTTGATCGGCTATAATGGTTGGCTATAATGGTTGGGCGAACATGGCAATAATTGTAGGAACACACTTAAAGATTTATATTAATATCTCAGAAGTGTAGAATAACCAATAACTCGGTGTAGAAAATTAAAAAATATTCCATCTAATAAATAATTTATTTTCCTATGTATAAAATTTATTATTTACTTTTTACGAAGAAGAATAATGTGATCGTAACGCTGTGGCTATGATTAATGCATCATGAATTTTACAATGATGAATGATAATTATCGGATTTTATTTTTTAGCGGCAATTATCGAGCGGTAATTTCTTGGAATATAAATAGTTGTTCAATATTGATCTTCGTAAATTACATCATTTATATGTAAATAAAAACGATTTTCACTTATAAATTATCTTCATATTCTTCATTGCATTGAAATTTTTTGCTCATTTTATTTATCTGTGAGTTATTTGTGAATGACTTGCCGAAGATAAAAGCACTTTTTTAATTTATATCTTGAGTTATCCTACAAGTTCGATAAAGTAATTTTATCACAAATTACGCGTTTAGTTTTCATTACTTAATCATAATAACAAACAGAAATATAAAAAATATATTTTCGTATTTATATTTTGAACGATATAAGCGTAGCAAACATTACTTTATATTCATGGTATATTTTATCATATTACTATGTGGTGAGCATATAAATAATTCTAAATGCATTCATGCCTAGCTTCATATTTATGCCGTCTAGTCCTCTCGTGTATCTCTATCCGTCGATATCAGGGCTTGCCTATTTAAATTTAACAAATCGCTACGGTTACGTAATGTATCGCTAACATATTCGAATGAGGAACTCGATTATGCGAAACGCGCCGTCGTAGGAATAAAATATAGATACTAGGCTGTGAGATTCATTCTCGACCGTCTCTTTCTCTCTCTATCTTTCATAATTCATCCCGTCTCGTCCGAAGAGAGACGCCGTCTGACCTCATCCGCGAGAACTTGTCCCACTTAACTGATTTCCCTTTTCTCCTCGCCGCTGGAAACTGGACATCACGGATATATCGCCATCTTTCGTAGTATTGTCCGACGGACTACAAATACAATCACGAAATTATTCCACGCTTCGTCTCTTTGAGCAGCATAAAAGATCGAATCTCGCGTGCGCTCGTGTAGAGCCGGTTTTTACTGTCCAAATAGTGAATACATAAGAAGTTTTTATTTCAATTTTAATTTAAAAAAGAAACAAATATTGGAGAGAAAACAAAAACAGCGGAAATAATAAAAAACGTCACCACAAAATCCAATTAATATTAACATATAGATAAAAAATAGTAAAGAAGACAAGTGTCAAGTGCTAAATGAACTGATAGAAACTTATGTTCCTCGATGTTCCGCCTCTTCAATTTACTCGCACAGCAGTGATAACAATTAGAGGAATTTATGAACTTCGTGATACGCTAAAATTAAGATGACTACACGCTTACAGTCGATGTATATACTGTTAACTATCCGTGATGCACGGCTGCTGAAACGGCACGCGACTCTGTCCCTGGTTGCTTTAAACGGCCAACGTTTATTTAAGTTTTCTTCCTCGCACGACCGGCTGAACCATCACGACAAGCAACGACAAGCAAGCCGTTTATATGTGCGGTGAACGTTAAAAACGATCTGACCTCCGCGAGTTGATTGTTCCGGTTCAAAGTTTTCCTATCGACCCGTGCTGTGCCGTTAATCTTTCTTCTATCGGCCTAGCTGTGCTCGCGTAAAAATAAATCGATTGTAGACGAGAAGCGACTATATATAGTACGAACCGTGCGAGCAATAATTGAGGAAGTGAAAGTCAATTTCAGTGTTTGTGTAATATTGGCTGAGTAAGATGATCGATCATTATCGTATTATGCATATTTTATAATCAATCATTTTTTTAAATATTAAGCCATTCCGTAATGAATCTATAATATTTTAATATAAAATAATATTCAAGAATAATTATCATTTATCTTGATTTTTTGCCACAAAGCGTCAAATTGAAATTTCATTAAAATAAAGTTTGTCTAAGATTAATTAAAAAATACTTTTCGTTACTTATTTTCTTTCTTGAATTAATTTTCAAGAGATTTCCAAGTTCTTTAAAAGAATCCTTGAAATTATGGTCGCAAGTTGCGGGACACATTTTTCAGTTTTTAATCTGTATACTTTCGTTCTGACAAATACATAATCACTGAAATTTCCTTGCTACGTTGATTTTCGCAGTGACAGTTACCTTCTGTGATACCGTAATGATGCCTATTAATATACCACCGCTTTGGTCTTTGCCTTTTTTCGACGGTAGTTTGCTCAGGCCGACACGTAGACGCACAAGTGCTTCGCCATCCTGAATTGTCACGAAAACCAGGCATCACAACATTTGATATAGAATCAACTGAAATTAAACTTACATAATCAATATGTCTCGTATTCTTATGATGAAAATGCACCTATTCTTTGCTATGTATAGAATGACTCAATAACGTTGACGATGCTCGTTGATTAATAGTAAATGCCAAACTATACATCTTTGAAGACGCGACTCATGTCGCAGAAATACATTTTACGGCTACTTTAATATGATTAAAATTTCACAATTGATTTTGTTCTGATGATGATCATAAATTATTGTATTCTTAAAACTAGATACGACAGTTCCTTCAAACAGAATTGGATTCGATGAAATATATTTAGTGGCAAACGCGAGCGCGTGCATGTATACAAGTTTAAAAATAATCTACAAGATGACTTCTATTCTAAACATTTATTTAAAAAGTAGCAGATAACGTTTAACAGATAAAATATAGAAAAAATAAAGTAGAAATCAGGAAGAACTGATAATAATTCATGTCGAGACGGCCGACATAAATATTGTCCGTATATTCTAGTATTGATATCGTGCGATCGATATCTCTCGATTTCAGTAACCGAATCTACACGAGAAGGATTTAACATCGATACAAATAAAAATTAAAATAAACATACGTGTCGCGGTTGGTCCGGACGATCACGCAGATAGATTCTTATTCAACTTCGGTGACATAATCGCGAATTATTTTGTCCCAGAATATTACGCGTACAACGCGTTACAGAATAATATTTTCGTTTACAGCTGTATTTATTTTGGATGTCGACGACAAGCTTGCGTGTTCAACAAACATGCGAAGTTGCATTTCGCGATGCAATTCTGTGATGTTTTCGAATGTGCAATGCGTTTAATGACTTTTTCATTCGCACCACGCCCTGATCAACTGAATCTAAAATTAGAAATAATTTAAGCGCAAGTTTCTTACAAACGGTTAAAATTACATACTAAATGATATGTAAACGTCGCAAAAAAACTTAAATAAATCATAAAAATGAGGAAAACTTCTCTTTTAACTTCTCTTTTAACTTACTAAGATAATATAATTTTTACGTAACACAATTTTAATTAAACAATATTTATCTTTAATTTAAAAAACTTGAACTAATACTAGAATTATTAATGAATAAATAATTTCTACCAATTTTGTACATAAAAAAAGCACATTGTATCTTTAAAATATTGATTATATATAACATTATTTAAAATAAAAATAAAATAAAGTTGCATTCGTGTTTTTCAAAAGATACAACTCTTTTTGAATAATCATTTTTTTCTAAAGAATACTTTAATGTGATCAAAAATTTTTAATACTGATGACTGTATTTAGAGAAGAATTATTTATTACTAAAATTATTTTATTCACTATAACATTTTTTTTTTTAAATAAAACTTGTTGTTAAACTTGGTTATAATTAACAAATTAATCTGTTACTATTTTTTACGTGTAATATTTTTTTTGCCATTTCCTCTCTTTTGACTCAATTCAGTGTAGGTATGGAGAATCCCCGAAAATTGCATAATCGAATCGCAGCCATTACGTTTCACATGTGTTTACATGCTATACGGTTCACCGTAACCATGACACTCACGATGAATGGTAATGAGAATGCGTGGGAATATCCTGTCTTTTCAATGTAAACTGGGCTGTACAGCAATGCAATGTGGTCTTCAACTTTCGTCCGCGGCCAGCGGTCATGATCAAATATCTTTAGCAGATAAAAAAACGATAAAGACTACTGATAGTAATTTCTTAAAATTTCTCAAGCATATTTCATCGGAGTTCAATAAGTCACTGTGTCTTGTTTAAAACGCTATCGTGCAAAAATTTTACAAATTTTTCTCATTGTTAATAAAACGTTTTCTGTCGACGTTTTCAAATCTGCTAATATTGCTAACATTTTGGTTTACTGAGATATATAATAATAGTGTAAAATAATCTTTTGCAACTGATAATTTCTGTTTTCTTTGCCACAAGATATAAAAATTGATAATTCATTATAATAATATACAGCTTAAAATGTTAATATAATATTTATAATAGTCTTAGGTATTTGTGATTATATATTATATCTTAACGGCTTATTTCTTATCTCAGTATGTATATGCGAGTTTGAAAATATGTGTGTTCTCATTAATCTTATCGAGAGGAGAACTCACGGAGCACAACGTCACAGCTTAACTTTGAAAAGAGAAGATCTTTTTAATATTTCTCAATTGCAGATTTTTCTCTGCAGATTTTTCAAACATTGATATTTTCCAAGGCAGCTTATACGCAGAAAAATTAACGAACTAGTGTCAAAAAGTTCGATTTATGTTGTGTCAGCAGAGCAGAAGATCAAACGAAAAGATGAGCCTTTGACGATTTGCCGACTTGTAAATAAGAAAAAAATTGTATAAGACATTGCGGAGCGTTTTCTTTAATTATCGTTTTGCTGATTACAGTAGTCGCTCGTAATAAACGCGTTGCGCATTGATGCAAATGTCACGTGCATCCGCAAAAAGATCGTATTACAACATAGAGATATAATATGCCGCGACAAGATCATCGTGGAAAAGACTCGATGAAAAGAAGCACTGTACCGCAAGGCAACGGCGTTGATGCCGATTGGCGACATCAAACGCCGTTTTATTTCGGGTACCGCAGATTTTTGCTTCCAGGCTATTTCGTAAGCGCGCGTCGAAAAAAAGGTCCCAATTTAAATTGCATATTAGATTCTATGGCACCGGCTTCGTAGTATGAAATAAACATCACTATTTTCATAACCAAAAATAAATAAACGTTCGTGCGGTTGTAAAAATAAATACTTCAAAATAAATTTTTCTTATTTATAAATGAGTAATGTAAAATAGAAAATGCACGCAAAATATCAAAAATCACGTTTTGCGAAAGAATTGAAACACGCTTACATAATGAGAATGTAGTTTATTGATTATGTTTACTTTGTCGAATTGTGTAATTCGTTTTTTTTTTTCTGTACGAACGTGCGTATATCGCAAATAATTTATGTGGCAGTTTAATGTTCGCTTCACAATCATACCTCCGGGCAGTGCTACAGTCGCACGTTCATTATCATCTATGTGCCTCGCAGTATGACGTACACGTAGCTCCGAGAAGGTAGTAAAAATGACGGCAGATTTAAAAATAAAACG